AGTTGGAGGTTGCTGTGAGCAGTAAAGCCATTGCACTCAACCCAGGGGGACAGCTTGAGGCTCTGTCTCAAAAATAAAATAAAATAAAATAAAAAGTTTTGCTTATATTTTGTTTGTTTCAAATCTATTCAGTCTTACATCCCCGAATCTTTTGGCATACAATTTGTCTTTCTTTCTTAGATTAAACCTTTATTTCTTTCTTAGACTAAACCTTCCATTTTAATGCTGGAAGAAAGTCAAAGCATAGCAAGGTAAATATGGTCCTTAGCAAGTCAGTGCAAATACAGTGGTAAACAAAAAGTCTCTGAGGCAAAGGGAATTCTTTTTTTTTTTTTCCCCAGAAGGGAATTCTTAAAATTTGCATATTATTGTCTAAAGACCCAATTGTTAAGAATTATTTCAAGGAAGTTTCACTTGATCTTAGTGAACAAACTGGTTTGAATTATTGCCTGGTACAATGAGGATAACAAATATAATCATTTTATGTAATTGTAAGACCCAGTTTGAAGGAATTTCTTCCCAGACTGGGAGATTAGGTTATATGCCCTTTCAACTCTCCAACTGTTTGATACCTATAACTATGCCCTGTTAGAACAAGATTGTCAACTGCAGGACAGAACAAATAACTTCCATATAAAAATTTTCTCAGGCTGGGCTTGGTGGCTCACACCCAATTCTAGCACTCTGGGAGGCCGAGGAGGAGGAGGCTTGAGCGCACAGGTTCGAGACCAGCCTAAGCAAAAGCTTTTCCCCATCTCTACTAAAAAAAATAGAAAAACTGAGGCATGAGGATCGCTTTAGCCCGAGTTGGCCGTTGCTGTGAGCTATGATGCCATGGTACTCTACCCAGGGTGACAGGTTGAGACTCTGTCTCGAAAAAAAAAAAATTCTTACATTCTTAGCTAGAAAATAATATGGTTTATTTCTATTCATTAAAAAAATGAATAAAACAGGGGCAGCGCCTGTGGCTCAAAGGAGTAGGGCGCCAGCTCCATATGTTAGAGGTGGTGGGTTCAAACCCAGCCCCAGGTCAAAAACTGCAAAAAAAAAAGAATAAAACAAGAGACAGAAATATTAGATTACTAGGGGGCAGCACCTGTGGCTCAGGGAGTAGGGCGCCGGCCCCATATACCGGAGGTGGTGGGTTCAAACCCAGCCTTGGCCAAAAACTGAAAAATAAATAAATAAATAAATAAAATGCTTCTAGAACCATTGACCTGAAGTTGCAAATATAGTTCACACCACACTTGGCCCACAGAGATACA